TCACCGTGTTAGCCAGGATGGTCTCGATCTCCTGACCTTGTGATCCGCCCGTCTCGGCCTCCCAAAGTGCTGGGATTACAGGCTTGAGCCACCGCCCCCGGCCTACATCTCTATTTTCTAAAGAGATTTTTGAAGAATGGATCTTGTTTTACCTAAATTTTTTTCAGCATTTATTCAGAAAATCATGTTTTTTCAATTTTTTTGTTTATTTGAAACAGATCTTGCTCTGTCACCCAGGGTGGAGTGCAGGCGCAGTCACAGCTCACTGTAGCCTCCACCCCCTGGGCTCCAGTGATCATCCCACCTCAACCTCCTGAGTAGCTGAGACTACTGGTGCGCTCCACCACACCTGGCTAATTGTGTTTTTTTTGTAGAGACGGGGTTTCGCTATGTTGCCCAAGTTGATCTCAAATCCTGGGCTCAAGTCATCCATCCGTTTTGGATGACAGGTGTGAGCCACCATGCCCGGCCTTATTTTTTCCCTTTATACCTATTAATATAGTAAATGCTATGAAAAGATTTCCCAATATATTAATATATGTCCTATGATAGTGAGCTATATTAATAGATTTTCTAATATTGAACCATTCTTACATTTCTGATAGACACTGATGTATTACTTTCTTCATGTGGTGTTTGAGTCTAAAAACTAGTATTAGGATTTTTGCTTCAATATATTTTTTGTTATTTTTAACAGGTTTAGGATCAAAGTTATACTTGCTTCGTAAAAAGAATTTAGATTATTTTCCCTATTCTGAAACATTGTACATAACGTTAGCACCATATGGTCTCTAAAAGTTTGGTAAAATTCTCCTGTGAAACCATTTGGACCCCGTTTTGTTTGGTTGGTTTCTTTGTGGGAACAGCAACCCCAGCTTGGTTTCTTTGTGGGACAGTTTCTTGACAACTTTCTGTAGTTCTATTAAAATTACAGTTTAAGCTTTCTGTCTTTACTGAGGTCAATTTTAATAACCATATTTTCCTAAGAAACTGTATCATCTAGGTTTTCAAATTTATGTGCATAGATTTGCAGAGTTTTGTTTTATTTTTATTTCCTCTACATTATCAGTGATTCCTTCTTGTCATTTCCCATTTTTGCATTTGTGCTTTCTTCATGTTTATTAAATAATAGCTAATGATCAATCTATTTTAATTTTTCCAATAACTAGAATTTTAATCTATTTGCTATTTTTCTTATTCATCTCATTAATTTCTGCTTTTGTTATTGTTACTTCCTCCTGTGTGCTTCCTTTTGGTTTATTTTTCTAGCTGTTTGATTTACTATTTATTTATGTTCATTCTGTCATTTTTATTTTTATAGATGGTAGGGCAATGAATTGTCCTCTGATAATACTTTTACATAGATTCTGATATATAGTATTTTCATTATCTTTCAGGAATTCCTTAATTTTTGTATTTCCCTTTTCATTGTACACTACATAATAGGTTTTAAATTTCTAGTTAGAAAGACCTTTTTATTTTCTAGTTTGTTTTTAATTTCACTTGGGACTGGTAACACAGTGTTTTTAATATTTCTGCTTTATAGAAGCTACTGCTGTTTTCTTTATGCTCTAAATGCCCTTTTTTTGTGTCAAAGTTCTATTTGCCTTGGAAAGAAAATCTCTAACATCAGGATGGTAATATTTGATATATGTGCAACAGATTTACCTCTTTGATTGTATAGCAATTAAAATGAGCTACAGTGACAGCCACATTAAGTGAAACTCACATAATTATGAAGGAAAAATGCAGACACACCATGAATGTTAGTCGATGAACTTCTCCATTAGAATCTGTTGGGGATCTGCTGGGCCTTTTTGGCTTTCTTGGGCACTAGACTACAAGTCATTGTGGTCCTGGGAAGTGTCCCTGGGTGTAGCCAAAAATTATTTTAACTGGATTCAGAAAAAAAAAAAAAACCCTCTCAAATTGGACAATGGATTGATATAACCTTGTAGGTAGGTCCTTTTGAACCAATACACACCCAGTGGTTGTAACTGATATGACTACAAGTATTGTGGGAAACAGATATTGTAAGTTCCCAGTGGAGTGAATAATTTAGACAGGTAGTATGGTTTCCAAATATGCGGTTCCATAGAAGGGCATTCTATTTGGATAGAATGTTTAATGATTTAATGATGGGGGGATGGGGGAAGGATAAGATGCAGGTAAATTGTGAGACACAACTCATAATTAGCCCTTTTCAGTCTTCTTTTTCCCTCCTATGCCTCCCTCTGGGTAACTGGGCTACCGAATTTGCAAGTGGCAAAAAGGAGTGGGGATAGAGGCTAGAAGACCTTAACTGGTACTTCTTTTACTGCCCAACTTTGCATTGTGGATCTGGTAGATTATGGGTATTTGTAATGATCATAGATACAAGGTGACAACTGCCATGGTATCTCTGGCATGGCTCACATGTCAGGGAGCAAGAGGGATGTTCTAGAATGGTACAGTGTATAAGGAAGAAACCACTGAGCCACCTAGAAATGAACATGTCCAGTTGGTGTGGATTAGACAAGGTGAGGACTGGCAAAAGGGTGAAGCGTTTGCTTCAGGGAATTATCGCACCACTCATGTTGTGGAAAGGGAACAGCAACTCCAGCTTGTAGGAAAGAAACACCTCAGACCCTGGGAAATCAGGGGTGAGGGAAGTAGCATTGCCCTCTCTTACATTAAATATCTCTGGAAGGACACATAGGAAGGGGATGAAGAGAGGAAAATGTCTTTAGTCTTTTGTACCTGCTGAGTGACTATTTTATATAGTTTAAAAAACATTAAACATTTAAAAATAACACTGTACCTAAACCTCAAACTAATATTTAGAAATTAATAGTCCCAGCCATAATGCTAGGGCACTACGTGAGGACCTAGAATATAAAAGTACTCAATAAAAACAAGTTAGATTTTCTTTTAAAGTGACATACACTTAAGTCATACAATTTTCGGGTATGAAATTGTTTTAAAGATGTAGATATACAAGAATAGTGCAAGCTGTTAACTTTATTTTTATTTAATACAACTGATGAAATTAACAGACAAATATATTTTAATAATATAACAAAGCTATTATTGTTAGGGTATTATCTACATTTTAAGGTTTTTTAAGTCAAAGACTTAACATCTGAATTTTAACTATTTTTGAAATGTAAAATGCACAATTAGTAATACCCATACTACATATCTTAGAATTTTAAAGTTTTAGTGAAAACATTTGAGTCTCTGCAAGTAAAAGCAATAGTTCTCCTGTATCTAAGAAAAAAAATGTATTACTAAAAAAGTGCCACTAGATTTAGACAATGCTAAACTGTTTCCTTTTTGGGGAGGAGGACAAAGTACATAATAGTATAGAACTAGTCATTTTCATTATACTAGTATAGAACTAGTAATTTGCATTATGCTTTGTAACAAGCACAAGAGTGCTTATTTATAGTAGATATTAACCACAATAAATAACTCCTCAAAAAAGATCACAGCTATGATGGGTGACAAGCTGTTCAGTCATTGCTGAAAATAGTCCAGAGTTTTTAAAAAAGTGCAATCTTGATCTGAGATAAACTTAAGTCTACCAATACCAAGAAATAGTTTTAGGGACTTCATATAAATACAGTAACCTGTCTTTTTTTTCTTTTGTAAAATAGGTTTCTACCTGTTCTAAGGAGGGGAATAGTGGTAGATAGCAAAGTTTGGCAACAAGTATGTTTCTAGCAGGTGAAAGCCTGGTATCCATTCTATAAGATGCATCTTTTTTTTTTTTTTTTGAGACGGAGTCTCGCAAGATGCATCTTTTACAGAAAGAAAGCATGCTTATTAGATGTATACAGTACTTTTCAGGCACTTGACCTCGCTTGGTAGCTAAGTTGGTGTTCAGATGTTTGTTTAATGGAAAAACATTAAATTACATATTGGCTTCAAGCCATGTTCCCATAGAACATCTGTGTTTCATAAGCTAAATCCAAATGTTCCCTGCTAAAATCAAATAATGATGCCATATACCCAATTCAGAGAAAAAATTTAATAGATTAAATAGATTGAATTGTCTCAATTTTTAAGGTTTTCCGCTATAAATTTTTCTTAAATCTTTGTTGCCTGTTACTTGTCTGAATGTTAGCAGAAAAAAGGCTTGACAACTGTGAAATACTATGCCTAAATGACATTAAAATGAGAACTGCTGATCAGTACAATATACTGTTCATGGAAATATGCTTATATTTTCACTCTTACACTGCTTAAGAGCCATATTTTCTCATAGTAAATGTGTTCCTAGTTCATATTATAGAATTCAGTATGTAAACATTTCAATGTACCCAAAAGAGCATTATGAATTTATCTATTATCCCTAAATACGTTTGGTGAACTTCTACATCAATGCCTGGCTCCAAAACTATCTTTGGGGTCCATGCCAAAGGAATGCTTTCGGATATAATCTAAGGATAGGATTCTAAGATGAGACTGCCAAATTCTATTCTAAAATGAAAAAATATGGCAAGATTCTGGTATGGATGCCACTGTTTCCATTTTTTTCTTGACTATTTAGCATGTAGTGTAAGTGTGTTGACATTAAGGATTTTTTTATATCCATGTATCACGGTATTACAATTTGGGAAAATTCTGCAATATATTTTCAGGCAATTGGCTTTAAAATAATGAAGCTTCAGCTTTTAGCACAAACAGCCCTGAGAACAATGCATTCATATTACAGCTCAACTAGAAATAATCGAATTGAGAAACCTTAAAGTTCAAAAACAAGTTCTGGAAAAGTTGTAAATTAAAAAAAAAAAAAAAAAAGTTACCAACAGTTGAGGCACCACCAGACAATACTTTTAAGAGTTGGGAGTTTGGAAAAAAGAACTAACATACAAAGCTATGTGCGTACATGTGCACATGCAAATTGTGTTTTAATGAAAAATTGTGTCTCCAAATTTTACAGCCTAATCATTTTATTGCAGTGTCTCCTATTATAGATATCATGCTCTGACTGCAGGAGAGTTTTGGTAATTAACAGAAAGCGCTGGTACAGAGACTTGTATCATTAAGGGAAACAGAGTCAAGAGCTTGGTTAGCAACAATTTCTTCAAGTGACTGACAGCCCCTGGAAGGGAGCCTGAAAAAAAGTCATAATTATGTTTATGATGCAAATGCTAAGTCAAAGTAGCAATGATATGATCTATGTTGTAGCAAATAAGGTACAACAAAGTCTTCACAGTATAAATAAAATGTTCTAAAAAGAAACAAATATTCAACCTGTTAATAAATTGGTAAAATGTATACAGATAAAAATGGCTTATCATTGTACAATCTATCAACATGACAGTCCACATTCTATACATGGTAACTCATGATTTTTAACATTTGCTACAAAAAAGTACAACAAATATTAGGAATCAACTTCAACATTGCTGATGTCTAAAAAGAATGAAGTCACTTCTGTTCTATGTTTAAAAATACATGTTCCCTACTTCCTTTTAATATAATTTATAAAGCTTTACTAAATGAAATATTTTGTTCTAGAGAGATATCTATTGACTTATGTGAAAATAAAGTCCCATATCTTTAAAATCTATACTTATATATCAAGAGTATTTACACTTCATATATTACTTAAAATGAAAATATTTATGCATAAACAGCTTTTGCCATTCAAAGTATGAAGACAGAGATGCATTATTATAATTTGTACACCCTTAATTTGTACACAATTGAAAATATATGTGAAATTTTACAAGTTAGGAAGAACAGGGGCATGCTAATCGAGAGTTAATACTAAATCATAACACCAGCATGGTTAAGAAGGGCCACAGGAATGACCTGCAAGCAGCACAGATTAATAATTTTCTGGAATTCCTATAAGTTACAATGCCAACCAGTAGCAATGAAGATACACATTGCAGAGTACTAAGAAACTAGAGCAGTATGTAGTAGGTACTTAAATAGAATACTGGAAAGAATGTAGCCTAATTTTAATTGTGCTTTAGATGGGCAAATGCTAAAATGTTATACTAAAAACGACTAACTACAACCTCACTATGTCTTGTGTTTTAGAAATTTCCTCTTTGCATTTCTCTTAAAGTATCTTGCTTCTTCCCCAAATGTGTTTGCTGAGGCTAAGACAAGATTTAAAAGTATGTACAAATTAAGCAACTAAAACTTGGGATCTTCTGTTACTAATGCTATTACCAGTCACTGATTAGATCAGTTACATCATCATATATGATATACTTTCCTTCAGAAGATAGGAACAAAGCACTTTTTAGAGGTCAAGGCATGATGGGAGAAGTCTAAGAGCCAGTCTTGGAGAATTAAGGTATTTCTGAGATAGTGATTTTGTTCTGTGTTTTGCTCCAATATGATGATTGTTACTGAGTCAAAGGTCCTCACAAACCCTGTGATAATGTCTAAAATTCTGGAAATAATATACATATGACTCAAAAGATTAAATAGAAATGCAGTGGTGTCACCTAAAATATCTTTTAAAATAATTCAGTTTATAGAATTATTTATTACTTATATTTCACACCAGCAACTGAATTAAGTCACACAACAATCAGAAAAAAATGCATATACTTAAAATAAGTTAAATAATAATATTCATATAAAGTAATGTTGCTTCCATGATTCACTTTCAATTCACTTTAGAACAAAAAGGACATAAAATTAACAAAAATTCCAAATCAATTTAAGGAATTCTCAGTTTTTGTTTAATAAATACATTAATGTCAAAAAATCTACTTAAAAATGGTTGGAAACGGGCCAGGTGTGGTGGCTCATGCTTGTAATCCCAGCACTTTGGGAGGCTGAGGCAGGCGGATCACCTGAGGTCAGGAGTTCAAGACCAGCCTAGACAATATGGTGAAAACCCCGTCTCTACTAAAAAAATACAAAAAAATTTAGCTGGGTGTGGTAGTGCACACCTGTAGTCCCAGCTACTTGGGAGGCTGAGGCAGGAGAATTACTGGAACCCAGGAGGCAGAGGTTACAGTGAGCCGAGATGGCACCACTGCACTGCAGCCTGGCAGATAGAGTGAGACTCAGTTTCAGGAAAAAAAAAAAAAAAGAAAAGAAAAAGTTGGAAAGGAGTATTTACTGATAAATAGTAGTATTTATTCAACATGGTTGGAAAACAAGCATTGCATAGTATCCTGTAAAGCAGATCACTCCCTTTATATGCTGGGGGCAAAGTTAAAAGCAAAAACAACTGAAAAGCAACTTTTCATTTTTATACTGACTTACAAAGTCCTCACATAAAAATGTATAGATTTAATGAACCCTCTCTGCCATTGTCTTTTGTGTCTTCCTTATAATCTTACTTGCTAACTTTCACCCAACAGTTCAGTGCCCTTCTGCCAACCATAAGAAGGGACTAAACCCACCATCTAAGGTTACATCAAGTTTGCCAACAATTTGATAAATAGTATGACCAAAGTAATTACGTGGTTGCATGTGGCCGCCAAAATAACTGCCACTTTTGGATAACATGATTTTTGTTTAAGGATTTGTGTTTGCCCTACACAGGCTGAAACTGCAACAATTCCAGTACATAATCAGTTCATTTAATATTAAATCCGTAATTAATGCAGAGTAGTTCAACTTAAATGTGGTACTTCAATACCACTTTATGCTACATTGTTTGATTTAAAACCCTGGTTTATCATTTAACTAAAACACAGGAATGATTTGCTCAGACATCACATCTGCTGAAGCTATCTTGTTTGTTTCTTGAACTGACATACTGAAAACCACAGGAATATTATAGGAAACATACCTACAAAATTAAAAAAAAATTATACATATTGATAATTTTTAAAAATTATCAATTGCTTGCAAAACTAACCCAGCACATTCTGAAAACAATTAAAAAAAGAAATGAGGTTGCTTATGAAGGCTATAGCTTTGGTGACAACTTAGAACCAAATTAGATCTGCAGTTGATTCAGACCTAAACAGTGTTCATGCCTGATGTTTCCATTTATTTGCAGGGTTTTATGGCTACAGCATATTCTTCACTCATTGCACACATGACAGACACCTAGAAGGAAAAAAGCAGGCAAAAGGTTATTCAGGAGACAATACACATAGAAGATATAATTAGTTCATTATATATTGTATATTTGTGGATATTTCGTACATAGGGACTTCTGAAAGGGGTATTCCAAAACAAGCTACTTTCTTTACAGTTTTCCAAAGCAGAATTTCTCAAATAGTGGTTTGTAAGACAACTTCCAGGGAAAAGGAAAAATGACTATAAATGTTTGAACACTTACTACACATTACATTTCTCAAAGTTTTAACAAAGACAGTAAATCTCTTTCACTTTTTAACACTCTACTAGCATAATTTCTTACCTGCAAGAATAGCTCAGGGCCAGGCGCCTTGTTCAGGCCTGTAATCCTAGCACTTCTGGGAGGCCAAGGTGGGCAGATCGCCTGAGGTCAGGAGTCTGAGACCAGCTTGGCCAACATGTTGAAACCCAATCTCTACTAAAAATACAAAAATTAGCCAGATGTGGTGGCGTGCGCCTGTAATCCCAGCTACTCAGGAGGCTGAGGGGAGACTCACTTGAACCCGGGATGCGGAGCTTGCAGTGAGCCGAGATCATGCCACTGCACTCCAGCCTGGGTGACAGAGGGAGACTCCATCTCAAAAAACAAAACAAAACAAAAAAAGGGTCAGCTGCAGAGCTTCAGAACAAATTTGGGTTTGAGAGTAATGTTGATGTAGCAAAAACAAACTTTGATACTTTCTTTGGTAATGAGTCTCTAAGGGTTTTATGGAAAACCTGCCTGAGAGATCATTTTCAACATTTTAGTAGTATTTTTAAACCACATTCCATATGTAGTATTTTATGTTAACTAGTTGAGGCTGAAGTTTTTACAAAATGGTTTTCAAAAACAATCCTTCTCTAAGTCTTTACCTGTACATCTTCACCTGCATTGTATTTTCCTTCTATTTCTTTGCCTAGTTCACCTTCTGGCAGTTTAAGATCCTCACGAACTTCACCAGTTTCTGTCAGCAGGGAAAGGTAACCATCTTGAATGCATATCAGCTATTAGAAGAAATTATATCATTTGTGCTGATTAGATTATATCCACTTCTTTGTAATGTTTACATAGTTAAATTGCAATTGATATTCTTGTAAGTACAAAGTAATACATTAATATTCTTGGTATTTAAAAATGCTAAAAATATAAAAAATATAAAATATGTACAGAATGGAAGTATAAGTTTACTCCTCCCGGTACTTCTCATACCCAATCTCTGCATTATTAAATAGTTTAGGTTTCTTTACAGTGTATTCCATTTATGTTTACAAAATAAATATAGTTGCTTTTTTTTAAAATGGGATATTGTAAGTACTTTACAGTGAGCTGTTTTGACTTAATAATGTGTCTTAGAAATACTTTCTAACCAGAAAATATAAACCTACCTTAGTTAACTACCACATAGCTGCATGGACATACTATAACTGATTTAACCAATTTCATATTACTGGGCATAAAAGTTATTTTTGCTATTACAAACAATGCATTTTCTAATTTG